ATTAATATTAAATAAGAAATGTACATAAAAAACATTAATAATAAAACACTGGTACAATAGATTCCCTCTTAACCGTTCGCTACGTGACCGGACTTCTGGCCACATTTACATATAAAATATAGAATGTGAATCTGAACTGACTGCGATCTAAATGCAGTTAAAAATTATAAGATCAGTATTGTACATTGTATTCATTCTTAAAATCTTTTGCCAGGTTATGCGACAAGCATAATATTAAATTTTGAATAAGATCTTAAAAAATACTAAAAAAGACTGAATTACAATATCTCACTACAAGAACAGAATTCTCCAGTTAAACTGTTTACACTTTCAGCTTCTTTCTTTTATTTTATTTCAAAATTAAGTCCGAAGAAGAAGTCATGCAATTGAAGTTTCCTTTATGATAAATACTGTGAACCATGAATGAGCTACGTAACAGGAAATGTGTCAATTGTTTTCCTGTTTGGACTCCTAACGAAAATGTGGCTGATTAAAGAGGAGACCGATAAAAGCGTGATCGGTTAAGAGGGAGTCTACTATACGTACAAAATTACTGATAGTAGTCTTATTACATTACTTATTAAACCTACATTTTATAGTAACAATATTATTAGTTAAATTGCAATATTATTAAACCTATAATGTTTGAAATAATCATCATTATTATTAATTCAATTCCATAGCAAATTATATTATTCAGGTTTCTAAAATGCATGAAGACTTTTAAGAATTTTAATTATATTATTTTCAGAAGTGCCTGTAATTTTATGGTGGACTCCTTTTGGAAATGTTAGAAATGTGCTTACAATGTGTTAATTACAGAAATGTGCAAATTATCAATGCTATTTTACTATTAACTGATCCTTTTAACATCATAAACAGATAAAACTTTTATGTATTATTCAAATTAAGCAAAATTATTAAAAATTTTTGTGATTTCTATCATTCCCAAAATTTAAAATGGTGTTATCATTTAAAATTTAATTACTTTGAATTGTATATTTATAAGTATTCAAATTATTGGGATTAAAATTGCCATAAATTAATATTATCAAGAACAAATTGACCAATTATTATAAAATTATGATCCAAAGTTTATT